ATACGTGCACCATTTCGTATGCAACCCGTAACTGCCCGTGCATACCTGCTGGATGGAACCACTGCACGGGCGCAGCGGAGCAGATCTAAGCGAAGTTTCTCTTCAATCTCAATGTTTTATGCGTAGGGCGCAAAGTGAGCGCATAACACGCCGCATGTTTGGAAGAATATGAGTAGCAGCAAACAGGCAACAGTCGGCAGTCCGCCTTCACGCTTTCAAAACCATGTAAATAAGGGAAAGAGAGACGGAGCAACGGCAGCCGGGAACCCACATGGCGTCACATGGCCAGGCCGATCGCGCCGGCCACCAACTCCCGCCACTTTTTTGAATTCGCTTGCGCACCGACTAACCGCGGTCGCTATCCCTAATCCTTTGCCATTGAAGGTATTTAGTTAATACTATGAAATATTTACTTAGAAAGATGATAATGATCATTTGGAGAAATAAAACAGCGCTTTTTTTATCTTGCGAGAACTGTGGGTGTTTCCAACCACACTGTCATCTGGTGACATTACATAACATTCCCGGCCCATTGCGTCACCTGTCAGCTGCCACCTATCGCCAGCCTCCCAGGGATACAACAGCCTCGCGTTAAAGTGATCTAGACAAAAGGGTATTCTTCGAGAGGGACACGACCATCCCCGTGGAACAGTAGCAGGCCTGTGACGAGGTCTTTTCCGTTCCTTCGAGTAGAAAATCCCCGCTGCAGAGGAATGGGTTATCCCGCCGGTCTCAAGGCCAAGCTGGAGTCGCACCCTGCCGCAATCTCCTAACAATAGCGCAAACAATCAACATTCTCCTTCCCTGTTTACGAACTGATCTGTCAAAATTACACCATTCGTATTTTACAAAAGCACCTGAAAACGCAAAACAAATAATTAGAGATTAGAACGCGTTGGAAAAGCGTAAAACAAAGTAAAGTGAAAATTATCGGGCCATCACTAGCTCCCACCGGTGTTTGCGAGTAAACACAGGTATGCTACGGCGCTTACCTGGAACCCGGATATTACTCATCAGTTTTCGTGAATATTTTAATTAAAATAACCTGCTAGCACTTTGTCAATTAAGCTAAGTTAATATATAAATGCAAGTAATTCTGTCGCTTAAACTTCCCGCATTTTCAGTTGTAGATAATGTTTTTATGCGATATCGAGGGATCACGCTACTTGGCAACACTCCAGCAACGTTTGCAGTAATTGCACGGGAACGAACATTCACTTTCGTTTATCTTTTACCCGTTCACTTCGTCGATTTGCAACGCTGCATGAGTTCTGATTACAACAGATATTTACTTTATGGCATGAGAATAAATTGCGGGTTGCCTCGTGCTTCGCTTGAAAACTGCTTGCTACAAAACAAGTTTCGGGCAGATTTACATAAAGGATTAAGAGAAGAGGACGGGATATAAGTATTTTTTTTTTTTAATCTGCACATTCTGGCTATAGGATAAATTCCATGAAAAAGAATCAAAATCGTTCTCCTGATAATGAAAACCCAACGCAATGACGAGGAAAGGTAACAAAAGGGAGGAAGGCGAAATGGCATCACGACGAAGCAAATACACAAAACGTGGGCATTCAAAACACGACTGAGGTTAAATTTGATATTCAACGTGTGGAGACGAAAGGCATCTATGTGTCCTTGATGGGGTCACCTACCCACGCCATTCACTCGCAACTCGTCAGGTACCTACTGGCCTCGCGAAGGCGAAAATGAAACCAGGTTAAACTCGAAGCGAGAGAAAAAGCGAAACCGCAGGACTTTTTGCGTACACTTCCTTCCGAGGCCGAGCTTAACCGCCTCACATACAGACGGTAAAAAAAACGGTCTAAAAAAACGATCGTCGTATCACGTGCTTAACTCTACGCTCTCTGCTTTAACCAGGCTTGAACCTTGGCAGTGAGTTCGCCAAGGCTCGCGACCCGTCCCAGCAGCGTGCCCGAACAGGTGGGCAGACGGACGAGCTCCTGCTGTACCGGTATTTAGTTCATGGTCGCTACTGCGCACGCGTCTTTCACTCGGAAGAACAGCATGCACAAGTGATCGTCCTACTTAAAAAGATACTTTCTAACGCCAAGTTCACTATTATAACAACAAATGAATCTGTTTTTATGCGTGAGTGTTTTTCGATGTTGCTAAACCAGTCACGCAAGGTGATTGATTGCTTCTTTCTTTTCGTTCATTTCATTATCGCTTGGCATTTTCTAATCAACAGTTAATTCTAAATTGTGTAATAAATCCTCCCCTTACTGTAATAACTTTACATGAAGCAAATCAATCCAATTAAACTCTACTCAGTAACTTCAGTTTTTCATTTACTAATTCCACTTATTATTCCTCACTTGAATATATCCTGATAGACATACGTATAAACAAAAACAATAAAAATACGAGATCTGAGTGGTGCGAGTTAATCTATACCGTATCATATTTCGCTGATGAAAAGGGTAATCGAATACATGAAAAGGTATCAGCGTTAATCAAACGCGGCACAACTCTA